GGTCTGGCTATGCAGTTCAGGGTGGCCTTGCGCTTGCTTTGTAGCCCAAGCTGGTCTTGAACTAGCAAGGATCCTTCTGCCTCAGCCTCCTGAGTGCTGAGATTACAGGCATGTGCCACCACACCTGGCATTAATCACGTTTGTGTGTTGGAAATATAGCTTCAGGAAAATGAGCTGTCACCAAGACCTGATTAATTTTTCTTAATACTTTTTGTTTAAGTCTTAGAAAATTTAAAGAAAAAAAGAAATAAGGCTGGATAAAATTACTCAGAAAATGGAATTGAGGACTTACTATTTGGAAAACATGGCATTTAAAGAGTATGTGGTCACATGAGAGCATCAGAGAAGGAGCACACATTTTTATTTTATTTATTTATGTTTTTAAATTCTATTTGGATCTGATAAACAGTGAAGAAGCTTTTGAGTTTCCTTCTCCATTGGGGGAAAGAAATGTTCTGTTAGGGCTATGTGCACACATGCAAAAAAAAAAAGCAAATTGCTAATATGGCTCAGGTTTTTTTTAAAAACAAACGTACTGTTCTTGGCAGAATTTAACAAAACATCTCAAAAGGTTCTTGCAGTATTTCCTCTAACATGAGGAAAGTGATTCCTCAAGAATAATTTAGGTACCTTCTTTTAATTGTATTGGACCTCTCATATATCTTCATTGGTAGGAAATGACCAGATGTCGAAGCAGAATCCTTTAAAATACTAATAAGTAACATTTATCCCTTTTAGCAATGGCTACCCAACTGCAGAAAGTTTCAGTGAAATATTTAATTTTTAATTTACTAACTTCTAGAATTTTGATTCCACTTTGACAAAGTTAAGGATTTATGAAAAGCTCAAGAACCTTATTAGGCACACTAGAGACCATTGTGCTTTATATTATACTGTTGCATTGTTCACTAATTGTCTGAATGAACGTGAGCACGAGCAAACAAATAGTTTCAGTATTTTCTCCACTCAAATTTAATACTGTATAATAGATTAGATAGATGCTGCTAGTTAGGAGAATGGACGAATGCAGGCATAGTATATATATATATAAACAAGAAGGTTTTGGTGACATATAGCTTTAAAAATGTGGTTATTGATTGGTTCTATAGTGTCTACTACATTTTTTCTGCGTGTTTCTATGAACTGGAGCCTTGGAAATGGAATGCTGTTCTGAAGTACAGCATCATTCTAGCCCTAGTTATACAGGTTCAAAATATTTTATAGATTTTCTTTTTTCCCATCTCCTGCTACACTCCTTTCAAGTCTAAAAGCATATAAATAAATGGATACAAGTTCCACAACCCCCATATGTTGTCTGGAAGCTTAGTGGTGATATCAGGGAAACTTGAAGAATGTGCATTATGAAAATGAGCAAGAAAAAAAAAAAAGAAAATGAGTAAGGTAGGAGAAAGGGATATTCTCATCATCAGATGTTCTGTTTTATAAAAAACACATAAGATAGGGTACCCTCAAAAGGACTCATGTTTTGACTCTAGCATGAACTTAATGAAAAATAAAGGAATTTTGAAGGAAGGACTTGGTGGATTTTATGATTAGAAATAATGTTTTTACTTCTTTTGGGATATCTCAAGCAAGATTTTGCCTCTATCTGCTGTTTTATTTTTATTTGACTAAGTAGTGTATCTCAGAAGTGTTTTTGTTCAAACTTCATGTCACTTCTAGGCTGTAGTCAGGGACTTTTATTTCCCATGTTATGTACTCTAGTCAGCTGTTCAGAAAAAAGAAAGGAATGCAATGCAATACTATAACTCTTTATTTCTTTTGTCTTCCTTGTTTTTTTTCCCACTTGTAGTAAGCAGAAAGAAGAAAAACTGAGTTGAAAGTGTAGAGTTACATCTCCTGGATCCCTCTCATCCCACAGAAAGTTGGTGATCTATTTTGGTTTACATATACGAATCTTTGCCCCTTTGCCTCCAACCCAAAGCACTTAAAATCAAGTGTCGTTGCTTTAGGCCACTCTGGGGGAAAATACAGTAGTTGCAAATGTCTGTGAAACTGTTTGCTTCATCTTTTAAATTCAATAATAATGAATACCTCAGTAAATTCCCCTAGTAAACATAGCAATTTGAGAAGTTCAAAGTACACTTAGTACAGTATTTTCTTGTTAGTTTGAATGTATTACCCTTTACTTTCAGTTTATGGGACAGAGTGAATAGGATCCTCTGAAGACTTTTAAATAAACCTTCCAAATTTAAATCATAGTTTTCCAAAACATAATTGAAAAAAAATCATACAGTTTTCAGAGAAGATATAAGAAACAGAAGGTTGAGATATTTAAATGATATTTAACATCAAACAATATTATGCATTTCTTTTTGATGACATTGTAGTTTTTGTCTAATAAACCTATTATATTGAAATGTAAAATTTGGTATTTTGAAAACTATTGTATTTATTTGCCAAAAAATATAAAACCCTGTATAATCTGTCCTGAGATATACCTAATGCACTATTTTTCCCTGTTATTGCAGTGCTATATAATTTGTGGTTCTGGTGTTCCTCAAATAGCTCACGGGTTTGCATTTCAATATAATATACTTCTTCTGGTCTGGTGATGTAGCTCAGTGGCAGAGTGTTTGCCTAGCATGCATGAAGCCCTGAGTTCAATTGCCAGCACCACCAAAATAAAAAGAAAGAAAAGAACAACCTTTATTCTGAACTCCAGTACATGACACGAAAAACCTCGAGCACTCACCACTGTAGTTCTGGATTTAAGAAGGCACTCAAATCTGAACTGCGGAGAGCTACGAATACACTGGAGCAATTTGTGATACACACTTGCCTTGTCAAATCTGAGCTAATGAAGCATACAAATCAGAAAACGATCCTTCTGTTCTGTGTAGTTCTTGTTTGCCCACCTGATATTTGCAGCTGATAAAAAAGTCCTTTTTGCCACCCAATCTATAAAAATCAGATAGTATAAGAAATATAAGGCCTATATAATCTATTTTAAATTCAGTTTTACTATAATTATAGTTAGATATAAAACCTGTATTACAAGTCTGAATTTCTATCCAGATAACCTTAATACATTCTATAACTTGTGTCCTGTAAAATATTTATAGTCTTCATTATTATCATAAAAAGAAGTGCACACTCAAAGGTTCTGAGCATACTTCAGAAGGTAATGCTAATGCCATTGATGTAGTAAGTCAAAGGTGCAGGTAAATGATATTGACAACATTTACAATTTTAGAATGTTTTTCTTTGAAGAAGTGTTTAATTTTAACCACTTAAGAGTTTAGCCCGAGTGTCACTCAGGTAGTGCATTTGTGCTCATCATTTTTATATTTCCTGTTATATTATTTTACAGAAAATTAATGAAAAAATGCAACTTTTGGTCAACCTGTATTTATTTATTTTTTATTTTAAAAATAAAAGAAGGAAAACATTAACAAACAGACAACCATTTACAAAAGAGTAAAAGAACAATACAAACAATACAGAGTTACAAACAAAGTGGTAGGAAATTAACAATGCTTGTTATATTACATATTGATATCTTCAAAGTGATTTCTCATGAAAGCAGATAGAGACATGCAATATTGATGCATCAAGGACTCATTGACAATTTCTTTCAGCAAAAAAGTAGAAGGTAGTAGTTCAACTATGTTAACTATCCTGTATATACATACATACAAAATTTCCCTTCTTTCCCTTCACTTTTCCCACATCCCAGTTGCCCTTTACCCTTGAGCATATTCCTTTTGTTTCACAATGTCTATCATACCTCCTAGTTTTTATTCACTCTTTCAGGTTTCACACTAGTGAGACAATGCAGTGCTTGCACATGCAGGTCTGATTTATTTCACTTATGAGTATGGTCTCTAGTTGTGACCATTTACCTATAAAAGCTTCAAGTTTATCTTTCTTTATAACTGAGTAATTTTCCATTATATAAAAGTACCACAATTTATTTTTATCCAATCCTCAGTGGATGGACATTTGGGCTGCTTCCACAATTTAGCAATTACAAATTGTGCTGCTATCAACATAGGTGCACATATATCGCTGTGATATGATGTTTTTAGATCTTATGTGAAAATACCCAGAAGGGGAATAGCTGGGTTGAATGGGACCCCTAGACCTAGCTTTCTGAGGAACCTCCAAACTGATTTCCACAGTGGTTTCAGCAGTCTGCATTCCCACCAGCAGTGAAGAGTTCCTATTTCTCCACAGCATTGCAAGCATTTGTTATTGGTTGATTTCTTAATGCTAGCCATTCTCACTGGGATGAGATGGAATCTCAACGTTGTTTTAATTTGCATTTCTCAAATGACTAATGATATTGAACATTTTCTCATGTATTTATTTGCCATTTGTTTTTCCTTATCTGAGAAGTGTGTATTCATCTCAGCTGTCCATTTTTGGATTGGGTCTTTGAATTTGGAGGGGCTGATATTTTTTAATTCTTTATATGTTCTAGATCGAAGTCCTTTGTCAGAGGGACAATCAGTTAAAATTTTTTCCAAGTTTGTGTGTTTTCTTTTTACTCTGCTGGTGATTCCTTTGGATGTGCAGAAACTTTTCCATAGGATGAGATCCCAGTTGTTGATTCTTTGAAGTGTTTCATGGGCAGTTTGGTTTCTGTTCATGAACTCTCTGCCTATCCCTGTGTCTTCCAGGTTTTTACCTACTTTCTCTTCCAATAGATTTAGTGTTTCTGGTTTAATATTGAGATCTGTGAACCATCTTGACTTGAGTCTGGTGCATGGTGATAGATGTGGGTCTATTTTCAGTCTTTGGCAGGTATTAAGCCAATTTTTCCATTTATGAAAGATGCTAACATTCTTACAGTGAGTTTGTTTGGTCCCTTTATCAAAGATTAGGTGGCTGAGTATGTTTTTGATTGTGGCTGTTTCTTCCAGTCTGTGCCAATGGTCCTCAGGTCTGTTTTTTAGCCAGTACCAGGGATCAACCTGTATTTAAATAACTTGGTTTGTAAGTGATTATACTCTCCCTTCCTTTCCATTAAAAATTTAACTTATCATATGACAGAAGGTGTATTAACTACAGTATTTATCAATATACAAAGTACCTTTGTATCAAGTGCTTTTTTTGATATTCTTCTTTGAATTCTTGCCTCTCCCCTTTCAATCTGAGCCATAATTTTCTCCATATCCTGAAGCTCACTGTATCATTCCCAGAACACAGCCATAGGACAGTAGCAGTTGGAGAGATAGAATGAATGGAGAAATGGTGTAAAGATAAATAACTGCTTATATGCCTGTGTAATTTATTTGTTAAGGGCTAAGAAACATTGGCATTTAACATACATCTAATACTAGAAAGTAAATAAGTCACTTATAATCTCTCAGTTTCCTAAAATATAAAATGAACTAAATGATATCAATTATCTACCAATGTGTTAGGCTAAAATTCCAAGCACACTCACAAGATAACTACACATATACAACTAACCAGGAAATACAAGCTCACTAATACTTGAGACCTGATGGAAAGAAAGTAAATAAAAATTAAAATGCAATTATTCTATGACCTATTCTGGTTTTCTAGGCTACAGTTAGTGAGCATTAAAAACAATCAAGCCAGCCCTCAAGATCTTTGGGCCTCAGCCTCCAGAATTCCCGGGATTGCAGGCAGGAAAGTCTCTAGTTTTAAGACAGCCTGGGGAACTTACGAAGACCCTGCCTTCACAAAGAAAAACAAAACAAAACAAAACAAAAACTATTATGTCACTGTTAGACAAAGATCTGTTCCAATTTTTTTAAAAGCACACATAAAAAGGCATGAAGTTGTGGAAAACTTAGCCCATTAAAACATAATTGAGCCTAAGAAAAGCAAACAAGAAGCTTCCAACAGCCCTAAAAGCCTGATGACATATGTATTAAAACAGGAAGAGAATTACCTGCGTATTGAGTGACTTCACCTGGAGTTGTTCCTTCCACTTCTCCTGCTATGTTTTCAGTATCATCACTATTTCCTACTACTAAAATAACTTCAGTAGTCATTTAAGTGAATAACTTTATCAGTCATTTAAGTGTGAGTCATAAATTAAAAAGAAATTGGCAAAGTTCACTAGTAGAAAATCCAAAAGCCTAACTCTTAAAATGTTTTCATTCTACAGTTTCACTAGACCTTGCAATCCTTACCTAAAACAGTTTTTAAACACAAAGTAAAAAAGACTGAAGGATAGCTTGCACTAAGTATTTTCATTCCTTGCAGATGGGTAGAGGTATTAACACACTGCTTTTATTATTCTCATTTTACAGGTAAGGAAATTGAAGTGAAGACTGGTAAGTAACTGAACCCCAGCACCAAAAGCAATTTGGTGATTTAGAATATTCAAAGTATCTATAAAGGAAAAAAGAAAATCTAAACTTATTTCTTAATAAATAAATGAAAAGAAAAAAGTACAAAATCCTTTAATAGTGTATAAATAAACTTCCAAATCTGGGTGCTGTGTTCTTGACAGTATCATTCTTTCTATTTCTTCTTCCCAAAAGGATATTGTCAAATAATGAACATTTTAACTTATTTTGATAGTATCATAACAGCCCACCAACTACTACTATATTACTAGGACTATTACCACACTACACGAATCTTAAGCATCTGGCTCCTTAAATTTCTAACCATCTTATGCATACAAAACATCTTTTAAAACAAGATAATATTTTATAAGAGAACATAGCCTGTGATTTATATGAGCACTCCCCAAAAGGGAAAAACTATTCTTACAGCTTTCTTCAGTCTCTAATGTCTCCCCATCAGCAAGTCTTACCCACCAAGGCAATCTCACATTTGTAACTTACTGGCATTTTGAAGACCTTTTCCCTTTTATTCCTCCTTTAGCTACCTGCAACCCCAAGCCTGAATTCAAACTCCTTTAATGCAAACATTCAACGAAACACTACAAACTTACTCTGTTCTTTATCTCTTGTCAAACAAACAGCTCCAAGTGCTGGCCCCCATCTCTTGAATTCACCCTTCCGCAGTGTAATGTAGACTTAGGAACCAAAACATATGAGGACCAAATTTGGAATCTCTCCTAGGTCTTAAAAGAGTTCAAAAATAACCTTAAAGCAATGAAAAACGAAAACAGTGTGCCATTTTTAAGCCTCCCAATGTACTCAGGAACATTTAAAAGAAATGTTACATGCTTATCATAGCTAATGTATGGCAAGAACTCTGTGTATGAAAGCTTAGAAGCATTTTGTCACCTAATCTTCACAAGTCGGTGAAGGAGGTATTATTAATGTTATTATCTTCCTGTAAGACCCAGTTAGTGTGCTAGAATTGAAACAGATTTCTTTCAACTCCGTACTTTCCCCTATCAGTTGAGTGTTTTAGCTCTATAATGATAAGGAATCTTTCTAAAATCTTCATTCCATATCTAGTAAGTGGTAAACACATGATAAAATATTTTATGAAACAGATCTAAGCTGCCACCCTGGAAAACAGGAATGTTTACAGATGATAAACATTAACTGATCTCACTTAAGGAGAACGCTCAAGCTATAAAAGTTTCAAAGAAAAGTTTCCCAAGAGACATTACAACGATAATTTCTCAAGAGAGGATATGAGCTATTTTTTTGTACAACTAAAGCAGCTTGCTTCCAGCAGTTAGAGGCGAAAATAATTGGCTGACAGCTCTAGATTAAAGTCAATAAAACTTGAATTAAATACAAATAAATGCTGTACATAATACCGACCACATGCCCCGGCAGAGGACGCTCAGTGGAGCGGCCAGCAGCACCGCAGGGTCAGAGCCGGGTGAGGTTGCGGGTGAGTGAAGGTGGCCCTGCAGCGCCCCTGGGGGCGGGCGCTCGTGACGTCACCTGTCACCCAGCCAGGACCCGCAGAGGACCCTGGCAGCTTCCTTCCCCCTGCGCGGAGGGCTTCTCCGCAGACTCCGAGCGGGACAACTCGAGCGTCCTCTTCATCAGACCAGCAGGGGATGCGGGAACACGCCACTTCCTATGTGTGGCCGAGGCGGCGACTGACGGGCCGCGCTCTGCGGGACCACAGAAGGGCCCCAAACTTCCAGGCTCGGAACCAGTTCCGACAAACAGAAACTGAGCCAGGCGGAAGAGCTCCCCTCGCAGGAAGGAGCACGGGGCCCAGCGAAGGGTTTTAACTGTTTTGTATGACGTGGTTTGACATTTGCCTTTTGCCAACATGTAGGCAGGGAATCATCATTGCTGAGCTGGTGACACTTGGCATCATTCCCACAGAGATGTCCGTAGGACATCTGCAGGTAGACAGTGCTGTCTCTGAGCTCAGGAGAACTTGAGTGTTCCTTAAACACATTTTATCTATCATGTCCACTGACCCTCATAGCACATAGGCCATGGGGCTGCAGGTGAGCAAACAGGAATCCTAAAGAAAATGGCCATACCAATTTGTCATAGAACCTGGATTTTGGTCTGCCTAGTCCACTTCTCTCTCTACCTTTTTCCTTAGTGCCTCTGTGGTGGATTGAAAATACAGTGTAGTTTGCTAAGAAATACTGGATTTAGGTAGTGCAAAATAGATTAAAATTTTGTCCTTTTGCGAAAAGGTAAAAAATAATTTGGGGAAAAGAAAAATGAATATATTATGAAAAGAAAAGAAACAGTGCTTGAAACTTCAGTACTTTTGAAAAGTATTTGAAGAAACATAGCAATTTAGAAATCTAGATTAAAGCCAAAGAAGGCTGTCTTTTTTTTTCTGCTGTCTTAGAAGTTCCTCATCTGCTCGGAGATGTTCCTGGCAGTAGTTGCCCACCATTACGTCTTCCCCTACAAATCCTATGTGGAGGAAGGGGAAGAAAGCTCATGGTTCCAGTCATTCCTGGCCATGTAGAAGGTGTTGGATCTCAAAGATGATACCTGTGAGCAAATCAGACGTTTGGGTAAGTACCAGCCATTTAATTCTTCTTTGTACAGTAAGTAGATTTCTTTATTTCTCCCACTGAGGCCATTTATTAATTACTTAGGAAAAGAAAAGAAAGCTGTTTAGAGCAGCACCATGGTGCAGACTCTTCAAATGGGGCAGAGAGAAAGTAGGGAGGAGGGCTCTTGTACTTAGAACAGGTAGTTTATTACGTTAAAAATGCCCTGCCTAATGTGAAAACCTTTGCATTGCTTTAAAGGTCGAACCCTCAGGGGCCAGCGTAGGCAGTCTCTGTGTTTGGAAGAGGGATTTTCCTCAGCCTTCTCTATACCACCTGCTGGGACTGCGCACGTGTTGCACATGCTGATGTCCATCCCCCAAGGACAAGACAGCACCAGCGCTGAGGACAGCATCGCCTCTGCATCGTGGAGCTACCGGGCAACACCAGCACCGAGAACAGCGTTGTAGTCTCCATCCTCCAGGACCAGGAAGCGCTAGCACCTAGGACAGAGTCGCAATCTGCATCCCTAAGGGACCTCGCAGAGCCAGGGCCAAGGACAGCTTTGCCACCTCCATGCAGGAGGGACCAGGCAGTGCCATGGGGAGGGCATGGTACAGAAGCTACAGAGGACTGAGGCAGGCCGGTGTTAATTTCAACATCAAACAATGAGATAGACAAGCTTAGAGAAATCTATAGGAATATTCACTTCAATGCTACTTTAAAAGTAAAAAGATTAGGAAAAAATGTAAATATCAGTAAAGATAGTTAACAAGTTATATGACAGAATACTAAGTAAAAACAAGAACCTTAAACAACAACAAAACTATATTTCTATTTGCAAACAAAAGAATTATAACTATAATACACTGAACATATGTTGTTGAGTTCTGTAAGTTTGTATACTATAAAATTATTTAGTACAGTTTTACGTAGGACACATCTATACCAAAATGTTAGTTATTCTTTCTGGCAGTTGGATTTCATGATTTTCTTCTTTCCTCTTTTTTCCCTTTTCCGTGTCTGTCTTGCTAAATTTGGTGTATTTGTTTTATTTGCTTTGAGAACCCCCTTAAACCTGCCATTTTTACTAAACTGAAGCTATGTATAGTTTTGTCTTCTGTTTCAGAGAATATTTACTGATCAGTACTTCCCATATTGTTCAATATACTATATCATGTTTTCTTCCACAGAGTGTTGTATTATGGCAGCAGGACCATGTTTTATTTTAATGACTCCTTTAGTGTTGAGAAAAGTAGGATATTTCCAATTAGTTTTTGTACATGGGACAGTGAACATCTTATTATTTCTTTATGAAAATCCTGAAAGTGCTAACCGGGTGAATTTGTTTTTAGGTAGAGGTATTTTAACCCACCTTCTGCATTAACATTACCTTTAAATCAGCACTTCTATCACTCTTTAGAAAACAGAACATTTAAGAGAAAGCAACACTTACCGTGAAGAGACGAGGATAATCACATAGAAAAGGAAGAATTTTGCATCTGTGAAGTGTGGCCTCAGGTCTTCCTGGAGTACCATGATGAATGAGGTGACACAGCACATCAGGAGCTGTGAACAAGATTAACATTTAAACATCTGTAGTAAGAATAACTGAAGCAATACTAAATTATAAACCAGAGACTTGGTACAGAGTAATGTTCCAGGCAAATTTTGCTAGGCTTTATTGAACAGTAGCTTTTTAACATTCACTGTAACTGAACATATATAACATCAGAGTCCTCAAAAGAGGGGTGGAACAGAGTCACTGAGGATAAAGGCTCACTCATGGGAGCTCAGAAAGAGAACAAGAAAGAAATGACAGACATAAATGGAGGGAAAGCCTTGTTCAGCCAAAACAAATCTGTAACGGCTTTTAAATACAAATTAACATTTTAAGGGTTCAGCTTATTACCTACTCCGTCTTACATAACACTCTATGTACGTTAAGGCAACACATTAAATAAGTACAGTTTCAACAAAATTGTGACCTTCAAATCAGAAAATAATCAGGGAAACAATTTTTCTTCAAGGTGGTATGTTACTCCAGGTGAATTGACATTTTAAGACAAATGCTTGAGATTTATTTTAGAACTCAGTTGTAACATAGTATAGTACTTGAACAAAAGAATTTTCCTGAAAGTGTACTTTTTTCCATTAAAATGATAAAATGCTCATTTAAAATATTTCAGAACGTGAAAGCAATAAAATAAGGATACAGTTATTCAGACCCATGTCCAGGCATTCCTTTGTACACACACACTTATGTTTTGTTTTTCTCTTTTTTCTTTTCCTGACCTGCAGGTTGAATCCAGGACCTGGCACATGCTAAACGGGCTCTCTATTCTGAGCAACACCTCAGTTATAAGCTGGGGTTTTTAATAGCTAGCATGCACTAACTATAAAATTTTGTGCATTTTAAGAGGATTATTTATAAGAACTGCCTAATATCGTCACCAATGGAAAAATCACAATATATTTCACTAGTTCCTGTTACTGAGCTTTGGGTTGTTTACAGGCTTTTGCTATTACAAATAATAAGCTTTATAGTCAAAGAAATACTTCTGATCATTTCTTTAGAATAATCTCAGGATTTGGGAGGTGAAAGTAGGAGGATCCTCATGAATTCAAGGCATACTAGGCTACATAGTGAGCTCAACCAGCCCGACTTCATTATGAGAGGCTCTCTCTCTCAAAGTGAAGAAAGAAAGAAAGAAAAGGCAGTAATCAAGGAAGAGAAAAGAAAGAAAGAAAGAAAGGCAGTAAGAAAGGAAGAGAAAACAAAAGAAGAAAAAAGAATACAGTCCCAGGAAAAGCTTTGGATAGCTGGCCATTTAATTTTTATTTTAAAGCTCTGATACCATGTATTGCACCTAAATTATTATTCTGCTGAAGGCACTAACCAAAGATTTGAAATCAAGTGCACATACCTTAAGCTTACAAGATAAAATAATTATACCTTCAGAACATTTCAGGTTCTACAACTGTGGCAATCTTAATTTCTTTGATATCCAACTATATGATGTCAGAGAATTTTATTATCCCATTTTTATTTAAGCCTGGACTGTTATATACCCACTGGACAGCTTCTCTTACTGAACATGCCCAGTGGATGTGTTTGTGTTTTTCTCTTTGGTGCTGTTTATTTAGAGAGCACTGCTTTTATTCATGACACATACACAGCTATGCAATAAGAATCAGAGATAAATGAATAAACACAAGCAATAAGTCAAAATATTAGTCACCAAGTAATGAACATATATGTTGTTTTATTTTATACTATATAAAGTTTTTTCAATTTCTTTGTATAAATTAAATTTCAGGATTAAAGAGAAGCAATTAAGCTTTATTCAAAGAAATGATGACCAAAAATATTTCGAGTTATAGAGATCAATTTATTATAATTACAAAATAAATATTTACTTACCCAAAATGATGCAGTATTTGTCAGAACTAAGTTCATCCAACATTTTTAATACCAAATTCTCCTTCATGATATATGCCTAGTGGGTGACAGATTCTACAAAACATGGTAAATTGGGACAACTTGATGATTAGATAAATTTTGTACTTTATTTTTTTTTTTATTAAATTTTGTACTTTAAAGTATAGTGACAGCAGTACTTAACTTAGAGGTCAGTTTCTTTGAATGACCCTAGAGATGTATAATCATTTGGCTTTGGCACAGAGATGATTCAAAAATAAAAACAAAAGCATTTTTCTAGAAGTGCTATCATGATTGCTGTGTCAACTTGAAGGAAATACAAAAATAAGACCAATACACTGACCTAGAAAGAAAGCTTGAATGAAGCTGAGGACAGAATTTCAGATTTTGAAGACAGCATGGCAGCTACCGATCCTGAAAGAAAGGATCTCTTAAAATGAACAAGAAACCAGGAAATATCAATTCAACAGCTGCAACTGAACATGAACTGTTCCTTTCAATAAAGCAATAAAAATCAGTAGTTCAAGTATGTTAGTTATCCTGTGTATACACATATACATATTTTCCCCCTTCTTTCTTTTCTCTTTTCCCTCATCCCCCTTGTTCTTTCCTTCTGAGCAGTTTCCTTTCATTTCACAATATGTATTGTACCTCCTAGATTTTATTGACTCTTTCAGTTTTTTACACTAGTGAGACAATATGGTGTTTACACATGTGGGTCTGATTTATTTCACTTATGAGTATGGTCCCTAGTTGTGTCCATTCCAATGTTTCTGTCCAATGTTACTATTAAGCATTTTGTTTTCCTGCACTGGGGATTGAACTCAGGGCCTCTACACTGAGCTATACTCAGGATTTCACATACACACACCTGAACTCAGTTAATGCATGATGAGAAGAACTGTAAGGATATTGTACATAAACTCCTTAGCACAACATGACTTTAGCCAAGTATCTCTCTGGCTTGATCTTCACTTCAATAAAATGAGACTACATCCTGTTCTTCAGGTTTTTAAGGAAATTAAATGAAACCATAGCTATGGCTAAATTCTGGGGATGTGCTATAGTCAGTGTCTCTAAAATTAAAGACAAATTACAAGAAAAATAACCCTTTCTGTAATCTCAACTCCTCTCCAACTAGTATCTGATTCATTTCTCAGGCCCCTTCACTCAGTATTCTCAAAGCAAATGTGAACTGAAAACTCACGTTCCTCTCCTGAATCCTCTTTTTCACTTGGATTCATTCCTTAGACAGCTCCATTCTGCTATCACCCCTTACACCTCCACCGAGCTTGTTACTAAGACTCACTAGTGGCCTTACCATTTATGAAAAACAATGGATATGATGGCAGCAGCAATGGACGTTATTCCCTGTGTCCTCCTGGAAACTCCTGGCAGTCACTTTCCAACTGGCTTCTGTGCTGTCTTCTTTGTTAATTTCTATTTTTCTCTTTGACCTCTAAATATTGGTGCTAGGCCCTTTGCCATTCGTTCTTTTTCTCTTTTATAATCCTGTCTATCTTCATGGCCTTGACTACCATTTACATTCTGACAACTGAAGTCTTCCCATCCCCTAATGCATATGCTGAAACTATCTGCAAGCCATAGTGTAACGGATTCTTTTTGGGAATAATCCATTTAGGAAGCAATCTGGGTTCAATGAGATCATAAGAGTGCAGTGCTAGCCCAATACGGCTGGCTAGTGGCCTTGTAAGATGAAGAGACACCAGAGCAAGGACAGAGCAAGAACTCAGCCATAAACAGCCCAGATGAGGCCTCCCTTAGATGACAACCATGCTGGGAATCTGATCTTTGATTCCAAAATAGTTTCATGAACTGTGAGACATGGTGGCCCACATCTATAATCCAAGCACTCGGGAGATTGAGACAGGAGGATCGTTGCAAGTTCGAGACAGCATGGGCTATAAAGTGAGCTCAAAGTCAGCCTGAACTGCAGAGTGAGACCATGTCTCAAAAGATAAAACAAATAAAACAAGAACTGTGAGACAATAAGTTTCTGTTTTGTAAGCCACCCAATTTATGGTATTTTCTTAAGAAAGACTGCTGATTCAGACAAACACCCCATTTACATCTGTAATGCAAGCCTTTCTGAGCTCTACACTTGCATTTCCAACTGTGTATTTGACATGCTCATTGAAGCATCTCTCTTTAGACTTTATGTCCCAAACAGAAGTCAGTTTCTCTCAAAGCTGTCTCTGAAGTTCCATTTTCCTTCTTGCTAACTGGTGCCACCATGCACTCAGTTGTTTGATCCCAAAAGGTCAGAATCATCTCTGATTTCTCCCTTTCCCTTACTGTCTCTTCCGAACCCAATCTACTACCAAGTTGCTTGTTCACTTCTGAGGATGCTTAAAATCCAGCTTCTACCTTCCCTGATTTGGACCATGAGATCAAGCATGGACTCTCTCAGGTAGCACAAATGGCTTCTTCACTTCACTCCATGTCTGCTTAGTTTGCTACAACTGGTAGACCAGCCTTTAGAAGTTGCAAAATAACACTGCCTTCCCTGTTAACTTCTCAGACCTGCTTCTTTTTCCTCCGTAGGATTTTAAACAATTTTATGGAACCATTTTTTGTTTGTTGCTTCTGCATTTGTCTCTACCACCAAGTTCCAACAAGGTAGGTGTCACCCTCTGTGTGTGATGGCAGTAGGGATTGAATTTAAGGCCTTTGTAGTCCACTACATATCCTCTTCCCTCATTCTTTCAGACTGTTGGGGATACAGACGTGTGCCAGCACCAGTACGCTTAGCCAAGTGTCACATTTTTATGCCTCTCACCATAGAGCACACAAAGCCTGATTCTTTCCTTTTTTAATTTTATTTTTAGAGATAAAAGAACCAAAGCATATTAACAAACACATACAGATAAATGAAACAACATGAAAACAATACAGAATTTCAGACAAGGTGAAAAGAAATTAATAATGGTTGCTGCATTACATGCTATTATCTTCATATTGGTTACTCAGATAAACAAATACAGACATGCAGCAATGATAAAATTAAATACCAACTATTTCTTTCAAAAAGCAATAGAAATTAACAGTACAATTATCCTGGTCACCTTATGTATACACATGTACACACACACACACACACACACATACACATATTGTTCCCTTTCTTCTTTATTGTTTTCCTTTCCCTCATCCCAGTCATTCTTTCCTTTTGAGCAGTTTTTTTCCCTTTCTATCTATTGCACCTTTTAGATTTCATTTACTCTTTCAGGTTCTTATAGCAGGGAGACAATATGATGTTTACACATGTGAGTCTTATTTATTTCACTTATGAGTATAATCTCTAGTGGTGATCATTTACCTAGAACAGCCTCATTTATCTTTCTTTATAGCTAAGTAATATTCCAATATATAAAAATACCACAAGCTTTTTTATCCATTCCTTAGTTGATGGGCATTTGGGTTGTTTCCATGATTTAGCTATTACAAATTGCACTGCTATAAACATGGATGCACATATATTGTAAAGCCTGATTCTTAACTGTGATTTTATTACTTTTAAATTCCACTATCAGTCCTTTGAACAGAAGGAGGCAGATATGATGGTAAATCTCACAAAGAAAGATAAAGCAAAGAAGAGAAGGTAAAGAGTTGAAAAGAGAAAGCTTACAATATGAAATGGAGTAACCAGGTGACATGTTGGTAGACATCTGAAATTAACATTCTTTGCAGGAGGGCATCCCATGAAGGAAAGTGCAAAGGCTCTAAGCAAGGAGCAGGCCAGCATGTATGAACAAGCCAGTGTGGTAGAAGCCCAGGACTTGAAGAGAGACAGTCTAAGGGAAAGTGGTGCCTTGCTGACTAGAGTTAAGAACACTCGATTTTACTGTAGAACTAGGAGAGATTAAAAGGGATGCACAGAATGTGACTTATGAGAGATTAGAAAGGACACACATGTCCTTATGGCTTAGCTTGATGCTCTGGATGGTCTGTAGAGAATAGTTGAGGTAGGACAGTGGACAACTTGATCAGGTTCTTAGCAGTGGACACTGCAGTTTAAAAGACTTTTCTTAAAAGTTATTGGCATTTAGAAACTATAGCTGAGGGCTGGGGATCTAGCTCAGTGGCATAAGCACTTGCCTGGCAAGTGCAAGGGTCTGAGATCGATTCCCAGTACCAAAAAAAACCAAACCAAACCAAACCAAAACAAAAACAACCAAAACAAGAAACAAAAACAAAAAAACTATAGCTGAAATTTCCAAATATGAGAAATCTACAGAATTCATTAATCTCAAAAATACTTCCTATAACTGTAATACAGGAAATATTTCAGAGTAATGTCTTACTTGCTTTAAAATGTTTATATGTGAATTTTGGTAGATACAGTCATAAAACATATATATTGTGAAGATACCTTGTTTGTTAAGAGAAGTAATTAATGCAGCAGAGTATATTATACCATAATACTATAGAAATAACTATGGGCTATGCCAGTAGGAGAAAGTAAAACAATAGCAATGAACATACAGAACATAAACATATATCACATTGTGTAATAATTTAAAATTATTGCTACAATGAAGAAGGGTCTAAAAGAACCGTAGTCCTGTCATAAAGCTTATAATTTAAGTGGTTCTCCGTGTTTTTATTAGGTCAAAATTAAAAAAAAATATATATATATGAATGGATGTATAGGTTAGGTAAGTATTTACCTTGGGGTTTTCTACCTTGTATTACTTTACTGATGTCACAATATGTAGACATCAAAAAGTATATGAGGCATTTGCAAAGGCTTTGCTTTGGTTAAGAGATAATCTGAACAGTGAAAACAACAATGTCAAATCAACTAAAATCTTTTAATTTGCAAAGCTAACTGAAAGCTAGCCAAATTCAATACATGGGTTTTCAGGATTCAGTTAACTCCAAGATCTGAAAAGTAGATCTGACTCCAGAAATAAAACTACCCAAGTATCAGGGAATTGGTAAATACTGGCAAAACAAAGCACTTCTAGGCAGCTGCATTAAAACACTGGAACTCTTTTGTCCACTGGGTCCCACCTCTCCACCTACAGCATCATTTGAGGAACTACAAGCAAGAAGTCAGACAGGTTTATGTCCAAAGACTCGTCTCATTTACAGGAGTGCATTTTCAGATACCAAGTCTGGGTGTCTAGTGTAGGAATGCAGCAGGTTAGATAGAAAGCAGAGGCTGAAGGTGCAGGAACGCCTTACCTCCACTTTTTCCAACTCCCACATGCACAAAGGAACCACCACTATAATGACAGCAGGTAGATGGTGACTGCCAGTGGGTGCGTCCAGTTGTTCCAAGAAAACACGCAGGGTGTGTCTGCCCTCCTAGAAGCAAGGAAAAGGAGAGTGAAGAAGATTGTAAAGGGGAGCCCTGA